CCTATCGCTGGCACTAGACTCCAAGCCCCTTGAAGGCAGTGACCACATCTTATTTGCACTGTATCCCCAGCACCTAGGCCAGTTCACTGCAAATACTTGATTCAAAGGAATGAGTGAAAAACCACAGGAACTAGGTATCATTACCTCCATGTTATAGTTATAGACATAACTGAGACTTAACTGGCTTCAGTAACTTATGCATGTTTTAGAACTCCTCAGTGTCAAGAGTTATGATTAAAACTCAGGTTATTCTTTTTTAATATAATTTTACGCACGTTTTAGTTTTGGCTGGGCTGGGTCTTCGTTGCTGTGCAGGGTTTTCTCTAGTTTCAGAGAGCGGGGACTACTCTCTAGTTGCAGTTCTCAGGCTTCTCATTGCGGTGGCTTCGCTTGCTGCGGAGCACGGGCTCTGGGGCGCGTGGGCTTCAGTAGTTGTGGTGCGCAGGCTCCAGAGCACAGGCTCAATAGTTGTGGCACATGGGCTTAGTTGCCCCGCAGCCTGTGGGATCTTCCCTGATCAGGGATCGAACCCGTGCCTCCTGCACTGGTAGGCAGAGTCTTTACCACTGAGCCCCCAGCGAAGCCCAACCCAGGTTATTCTATTCTAAACCTGAACGGGAATTGCAAGAAGGCAATATTTTGGTTTTATTAAACTGAGGAGTCTGGTCTGTATATTAAGATGGCATTTACCGTGGTTATAGCCTTCACCAGTTTTTTACAAATATCCCCAATAACTCCCAGAGTTAGTCGTGAATATTCTCAGCAGCCACTGTCAGTCCCGACTGAGCACTTACTATGCGCTGAGTCATGAGAGAAAAGACAAGATATAGTTCCTGACCGTGAAAGAACAGCAGGGCTCATTCAGGAGATGCTCCCAGATTCACCAGGTGCTCACTCAGGGCTTCCTTATGCCTGCGTACTGTGTAGATACTGAGGTCATAGCAAATAAGCTAGATAGGAGCCCATCCTTCTTGGAAGCCACAGTCTGGTAGGAAAGGCTTAAGGTGAATAAACGATCATAATCATTGTTTGTCTGTGACTGCACACAATGCCCAGAAATACTGATGTCCTGTGGCAGTACCTGGTGGGGGGGGGTGGGGAGGGCTCAAGAAGTCATCCTAGGTGAAGTCAGATTTAAGCTGAAGCTTGAAATGTCACTAGAAGTTGACTAGGGGAGGAGAGAGGAGAAGAGCACGCCAAGAAGAAGAGGGAAGGCATGTGCCAAGGCCCTGAGGTAGGAAGGTGAGTGTTCCTGGAGAGCCATTCAGGATGAATCAGGAGAGGTGGGCAGGGGCAGCCCATGTCAGGCCTTGCAGCCTGCTGAGAATCGTGGTCCTTACCCTGCAGGCAAGCCCTCCAAGTTCAAGTGAAGGGACCATCCCAAAGGGTATGAGGAAGCACTTCCATACACAGAGGGCTCCTCTCAGCCAGATGGCTATGGGTGGGTTCTCCTCTCCCTCTTTGGACGCATTCTTCCTGTCCCCAGAGAGAACTGTCCTGTCTTAGAGAGAGTCAGGCAGGGGATGGCCCCAGCACTTGGCTCTTCCCCTTCCCAGGGCCCTGTTCACTCCCAGCCTCCCCTGGGTGTCTGCTCGTCTTGTCACTTGCTTGTAAGTTTCCTAATATAGCCTGGCCATTTCCTCCCCAGCTGAAGGCCAAGAGCCACTCTCCTGTTGCAATCTCAGTTTTTCTTGGGCTTAAAGGGGCCACATCAGCCGATCTCATGCCAAATTTAAGCGAAAGGTAGATTGGTTGATTTGATTTCACAAACTTATTCAATTCAGAGATTATCTGTCTTCTTTTCTTTCCTCCGGATTACCATCTTCTCTGTCCTGTTCTTGTCTCATTGTCTGTCCACAATGTCCTGTCTCTTGTCTACTTCTCTGTCTCATTTTTTTCTTTCTTCTTCTGAGACTTCGGAAGGAGCACAGTCAGATATGGATGTGAGTTGTGACTCTCTGCATTTATTAACTGTGTCATCTTGGGTGAGTCTTATAGGAGTTATTAAACATCTCTCTGGTCATTTTCGCAGATCCGTTTTTAGCTGACTAGAGCAGAAAGAAGAGAAAATAGTTATAAAATGCATGCTATTCATGCACTCATTCTTTCAACAAATATCTATTGAATATTATTAACAATATTTATTGAATAATGTTATTATTTTAGGTACTAAGGATACAACAGTGAACAAAAAAGAATGGAAACCCTGCATTTATGGAACTTACATTCTACTAGGGAGATGTGCCATGTATGTGTGTGTATGTGCTCAGTCATGTCCGACTCTCTGCAACCCCATGTAGCCTGCCAGACTCCTATCCATAGGATTTTTCAGGCAAGAATACTTGAGTGGATTGGCATTTCCTTCTCCAGAGGATATTCCCAACCCAGGAATTGAACTCGTGTCTCCTGTGTCAGCAGGTGGATTCTTTACCACTGAGCCACCAGGGAAACTGGGGGAAGATAGTCAAAAAACAAAAGAAAAAGCAAAATATATGTAATATTAGATATGCTATGAAGGAACAAAAAGCAAAGAAGGAAGGTGAACGAAACCTGGGTAGGGGTTATCCTTTTACTTCTTTTTACAAACTTTTGTTTGTGTAGTTTGTTGCATCGGGTCTTGATTGCAGCACGTGGATCTTTGTTGCGTCACGCGGGATCTTTTGTTTTGGCACAGGGACTTCTAGTTGTGGTCGCAGGCTTTGTTGCTCTGCGGCATGTGAGATCTTAGTTCCCCGACCAGGACTTGAACCCATGTTCCCTGCATTGCAAGGCAGATTCTTAATCACTGGACCACCAGGGAAGACCCAGGCAGATTGTAATTTTAAATAAGGTGGTCAGGTAAGCCTCAATGAGCAAACACTTCAAGGACATTGGGAGGGAAAAGAGTTCCAAGCAGAGGGAAAAGCCAGTGGAAAGGTTTGAATGGGAGCCTGCCTGCTGGGTTGACCTTAGGGGTCCCTTGGCAGCCATCCTGGGTATTTGTTGGGAAACCATTTGGTTGTTTGGTTAGCCAGGGCTGCATATTAGCTTGTGTTTAAAACAAAGGCACTGAATTCCCCCCTCACTTCAGCGAACATGATGTGTCAGGCACTGTTCTGTATACTCCAGGCACAAAGATGGAGGCAGAGAAATGGTTTTCAGGGGCGCGGGGAGAAAGATCAAGAAGGAAGAACAGGTGTGGGGGCGCGGGGAGGTGGGGTGACAAGTTGGAGATGCTGTGTCACATCTGGGGGCACCCATCTTCAAGGTGGAACTGCAGAGGGGAAGAGGTTGTGGATATAGTCAGGACAACCAGCAGGAGATAGGAGGCAGTTATAAAAGTACCAGATGATGCAACCCCCCAGGGAGGATGGGGAGGGGCGGGTGGTGGTGGGAGGGGGAGGTCTTGGATGGAGCCCCAGGGAGCACAGCCTGTTAGGATGGGGGTGGAATATGAAGCTATTTTGTAGCTTTGTATCAGCTTGTTCATGCAGCTAGGTGACCACACACACTTGCACAACTTTGCAGAATCACAAAATCACACGCATATCCTTTCCTTCATAGTTCATCAGCAATATTAACTTATTTAAATCTACAACAACCCTATGAGGTAAGAGGCAACTGTTACCTCTTTAATGGGTGAGACAGCTGAGACACAGAGAGGTTAAGCCACTTGCCCAAGGTTACACAGCTAGCAAGGGCCAAGGCAGGATTCAGAGCCAGCAGCCTGGCTCCAGAGTCTGTGCTTCTAACCACCATTCTCTTCTGCCCCTCTGTGCATGTCACAGTCACATGAACAGATTCTAGTTCCCAGGAGCTCATGTGTTCACACTCATGGACACACAAGGCCTTCCTGCTAATAGCTCCCTGTACATGCCACTATCCTGCGTACACGTAGTGTCACACGATCTCAGTTTCATTAATGTGCCCAACCTCACAGCCTCACTCAGCATCGGGTGTCTCAATCTCAGATTACTTTGCACTTTAACACTCAGGTGGCCTTGCGTACTCAGACCTCACACACGCCCGTAACGTCACCTCCACTAGGCAGTCACGCCACGAGTACACACTGCATACACACACAGCCTATACAGTCAAAAGACACTGATATGCATGCCCCCAACAGTCTTCTCTACACATGGCCTTGCACAAATACACACTTGCCCATGCCCTCCAACATTCATACCACCATGAAAACACCGCCTTAGTCATTCATGACCTTGGATCTTCACTTCACCTTGAACACCAGGATAACCATGCACATTTAACCTCACATACTCACAAAACCTTGCCTGCTCACAAGTTTGTACTCCGATCCTCTAACAGTCTTGCACCTTCACTCAACTTTACCTGTCCTTGCACACTGAAGACCGCAAATGCTCTCATAACCTTACATACATCTCATGACGACCCGTTGGTGTGGTCTCGGTCACCCTCTGTGCACACACTGCCTTGCACACTCACACAAATGCAATTTGCACACTACTGCACAAACTCACTGTCTTACCCACTCTCGCTCTGGCACTTTTCATTTCTCTTGTGTGATTCCATTTCTATGCACGCTCAGTTAACTTCACACTCACAGAGCCTCACCTGCTCACACTTCACTTAAAAGGGCTCTCTCTCACTCTGTTTGGAACACTAAAGACCCTAGTGTGTTCCCACCAGGAGAAATATACCCACCGTCTGCTCATGTCCAGGCACACTCGGGTAACTCCATGCACTCGAGGGACCCTGCCTGCTGGCACGGCTTCACACACTGATGCCCTGCGACACTCCACCTTACTCCATCTGGCATGCTGTGACCTTGCCACGTTCCCGCCAACGGGACTATTCACAGCACTGCATCAACGCCTGCCTTTCAGGCGTGTGTTCTCACACACTCAGGCGACCTCAACCCTCGGAGGCACCCTGGCTCCGGCCACTCCACATCCCCTGCCCCTCGACGTCCTGGCCCGCGGCACAGCCAGGCTCCCTGGCAGCCCTGGGGGCCGCACTGACCGTCCTCTCCTCGCCCGCAGGAACGTACCAAGGCCAGTTCACCAACGGCATGCGCCACGGCTACGGCGTGCGCCAGAGCGTGCCCTACGGGATGGCCGTGGTGGTGCGCTCGCCGCTTCGCACCTCGCTCTCGTCCCTGCGCAGCGAGCACAGCAACGGCACGCTGGCCCCGGACTCGCCCACCTCGCCGGCCGCCGACGGCCCCGCGCTGCCCGGGCCGGCCATCCCGCGCGGCGGCTTCGCGCTCAGCCTGCTGGCCAACGCCGAGGCGGTGGCGCGGGCGGCCAAGGGCGGCGGCCTGTTCCAGCGGGGTGCGCTGCTGGGGAAGCTGCGCCGCGCCGAGTCGCGCACGTCCCTGGGCAGCCAGCGCAGCCGCGTCAGCTTCCTCAAGAGCGACCTCAGCTCGGGCGCCAGCGACGCCGCGTCCACCGGCAGCCTGGCCGAGGGCGCCGACGAGGCCGCGCCCTTCGAGGCCGACATCGACGCCACCACCACCGAGACCTACATGGGCGAGTGGAAGAACGACAAGCGCTCGGGCTTCGGCGTGAGCGAGCGCTCCAGCGGCCTCCGCTACGAGGGCGAGTGGCTGGACAACCTGCGCCACGGCTACGGCTGCACCACGCTGCCCGACGGCCGCCGCGAGGAGGGCAAGTACCGCCACAACGTGCTGGTCAAGGGCACCAAGCGCCGCGTGCTGCCGCTCAAGAGCAGCAAGGTCCGCCAGAAAGTGGACCACAGCGTGGAGGGCGCCCAGCGCGCCGCCGCCATCGCGCGCCAGAAGGCCGAGATCGCCGCCTCCAGGTAGGACCCCCGGGCGGGCGCGGATGGGCAGCGCCTCACTCCGGGAAGGGGTCCCGGGCCAGCGCGGCCCTGTTTCTGCGTCTTTCACCATCAGGGGTTCCCCCCAAGACTTTATATAGAGGGTTCGTTGGCGGTGCTTCCGGATCTCATGTCACCCATTCACCCATCCATTCATTGTCCATCCATTTATACACTCGATTCCTCCCGTCCACCCGGGCCCTCCCTTCACGTAAACCTCACGTTCATCCAACCTTTATAATAGTGACCTGAGCAACCATCTCTCTACCCAGCTGACCGTCCCACCCACCCAGCCGGTTAATTTTCTGTTTACTCATTCTACCACCCAGTTACCCATCCAACCACCCTGTTATTCGTCCATTCACCCAACCCCTTTGCTCACCTAACTTCTCTACTACCCACCTGAGCAATCCCTGCATTTACCAACTCATCTGTCCATCCATCCACTCAGCCCATATATAACATTCACCTTATCCACCCAACCATTTCTTCATCTGTCCATTCAACTTTCCATCTTTACACCCTCTGAACCAAGCACTCATCCACCCATCCATCCACAATCAATCCAACCACCCAGACACCCGTTCACCCACCCATCCGTCCCCTCATCCCCAGCACCCACATTCATTCAACTTCTCCCATCCACTGAACCACCAGGCATCCTAAATTCAACCATGCATCCATTCACCCCACCACCTTCATTCATCTGATTTCCTCCATTTATCCAGTCACCCCTTTACCCAATCATGCTTCCCTCCACTTAAACAACATCTGCTTCTACCACCTACCCAGTCATCCAACCATCCACCCATAATCCATCCATCCAACCACCTTCATCACCCAAACAGACCCAGCAATCCATCCACCTGTCCATTCTCTCAACCACCTCCACTGACCCATCCGCCAGCCCTTCATCCATCCACTCTCCATCCAGTCAGTACCTATGCTTTCATTCATATTCAGGCCCCTGTAGTCTTCTCACTGTACTTCAGGAAAAGTTCCAATGTTACCTTCAAACATTTATAACACCTGCTATGTGCTTGGCATTATTTTAAGTGGTTTACAAATATTGACTCATTCAGTCTCCTTAATGATTTTGTACTATTTTTATCTCCATTTTACAGATGATATAAATGAGGCTCTGAAAGATAAAGTTGCAAATCACCCAGGTAGTGAGTGACCAGGTAGTAAATGGTTCCTACCCTCCTATCCAGCCTCATTTTCTACCACCCTGTCCTAGGACCTGGATTTTTGGCTTTGTACTAGTCATACTGGCCTTTCATCATCCTTCTCTAGTTCTTCCTATCCGAAGGCTTTTGCTCCTGCTGATTCCTCTGCCTGGACTGCTCTTCCTTCTTCTTGCTGCCCCTTCATTTCTACTCCTCCTTCAGAGATGGGGTCAAGTCAGACCCCCATATTGAGGCCCCATCCCCTGTCACAGCTTGGCTCTCACTCAGCTGCATAGATGTCTTCTTACAACATTCGCAGTTGCAACTTTATGCTGCTTATATGATTTATTTATATTCTAACACTTATAATGGGCTTGCTGTGAGCCAGTCACCATTCTGATGTCTTCATGTATGTGTGTTAGTTGCTCAGTCGTGTCTGACTCTTTGTGACCCCATGGACTGTGGCTCACCAGGCTCCTCTGTCCATGGGATTCTCCAGGCAAGAATACTGGAGTGGGTTGCCAGTCCCTTCTCCAAGAGATCTTCCCGACTCAGGGATCAAACCCAGGTCTCCTGCATTGCAGGCGGATTCTTTACCATCTGAGCCACCAGGGAAGCCATCAGAGATGTATAGTAACTCATTTAATTTTTACAAGGTCGTGAGGAGGTAGGTACTGCTGTTAATCCCGTTTTGCAGGTGTTGATGAACTGTGGGGGCAACAGAGGGTGTGGCAGGACAGTGGTGAGAGGTACCAGCCTGCCCCGTGCCGCGAACCCTCCTGCTGGTGGCTTGAAATGGCCTGGGATGGAGGCTTTCACACTGTAGTCTTCAGGGTTAAGCAGGCGAAGGGCCGAGTCTTAGCTCTTTCATCTTTCAGCTCAGACGTGGGCAACTCAGTTTGCCCATCTGAACTTCCATCCCCAGTCTGTGATGCCACCATCTCTTAGTTGTATGTTCTTGGCTAAATCAACCTCAGTTGTCTCATCTCTAAAAAGGGGTTGGTCTGAGGGTTAAGAAACACAGTGCACGTCCAATCGTCCACATTTCTGTCATGGGACGAGTTCTCTCGGAAGCCGACTTTGAGATGGAAGTTAATATGCAGGAAGTTTAATTAATATGCAGGGCAGACTCTGAGGATCAGTATCTGGGGAAGGGAAGGAGGCAGGGTTGGGCAGAGAGGGTCATGCTGGGCTGCAATGCAGTCTCCACAATGCCTCAGCAGACCACAAGGGGCTCCCCGCAGTGGCGATGACCTTCAGAGTTCTCCTAAGTTGAAGTGAGGGAGCTGGATCTTTGGAGCCTCTGCATTGAATCCAAGCTGACCTCAGGAAGGCACGTGACCTGGGGCTGGTCGGCTCTCTTTAGCTAGTGGCAGTCCCTGGACAGGACTGACAGTAGGCTGCACTCTGAGCAGCTGGGTTGAGGGCAGGAGGAGGCGAGAAGTAAATCCGTGGTTCTGAAGGGGAAACTGGGGAGCACATCACAGTATCCACCGCCGTGCTGGACACCTAGCAAGGGCTCCACAGATACTGCTAGTCATCGTGTCCTTCAGTGAATTCATTTTACAGATGTGGAAACTGAGACCCAGAGAAGGAAGACAGTATGCTTCAGGCCACCTGGCAAGCAAGTGAGAGAACCAGGGCTTCAGCTCCTACATTTCTGATTCCAAAGCTTTAACCAGCACATTTGCCTACTCTAAACATTGTAAACTTTGAGTTACTAGGAATGTGTGAATAGTTACTGTCATTAAGGCAGAAAGAAGGTATGGGTAATTTTCTTAATATTTCTTGGTTAGGGGCAGAGCCAGATAGTCATATGATTTATCAGATGCTTTTATGAGCACTTTATAATATTTACTTGGCTGCAGAGTCTTAGTTTGCATCACACAGGATCTTCAATCTTTACAGCATGCGGGTTGTAGTTCCCTGACTGGGGATTGAACCCAGGCCCCTTGCCTTGGGAGCTCTGAGTCTTACCCAGTGGATCACCAGTGAAGTCCCAAGGGGTCACTTTTTAAAAATAGCACTTTGATGTTGGAATCATTGTAGACTTACTGAAGAGCTGAAAGGGTAGTACAGAGAGTTCCCGTATACTCTTAACCCAGATTCCTCTAATGTCAGCTTCTTTCATTACAGTGACACGTTCATCAAAGCCAACATTCGTACCTTACTGTTAACTAAACTTCAGACTTTAAGGTGGTGTCTGCTGGGTTTCTCTGCTGTCAAATTACCATTTTCTCCTTCCCCTATTTTAATCTTTGGATCCCAGACACCCAGTTCAGCACACACTCAGTAAGGGTCTGGAATTAACCTCTACCTTTTGGAAGGGAAAGTATCCATATATGTTATTAGAAATTCTTCTGTATGGAAGATTTGTCTCTTCTCTCCAAAGGAACATTTAAAGTTATTATGCCAAGTGTATATAGTTACGACAGGCATAAGCCAAGACTGTCCTGTGCCAGCCTGGGGCTCAAAAGAGCTTAAATGAGGTAAGAGCTTAAACTCTTGATTTGGAAGTCCACGAGTTGAAATTCTGGCTCTTGTACTGAATTGCTGTGTGACCCTGCCCAAGTTGCCTCACCACTCTGAACCCTGGCTCTTTTTTCTTTCCTGGGTTTGTTTTGGGGAGTAGGTGAGATAATGCCTGAAAAATACCTGGCGTAGAGCAGCCAACAGTCAAAGCAGTCTTTGCCATCATTTAACATGTTCGATTTTAAAGATGATGAAATGGCAGCTTGCAGAGAAAGGGGGGTTTCCCCAAGGTCTTCCCTTGCTGGGGACAAAAGCTTGCCCCTGTCCGTCCCCTTTGCTTTCCCTGCCCTCCCGGTCCTTCCTGCCAAGGATGTGCCCTTGAACATGAAGACACAGAGCTCCCTCCAAGAAGGCTGCCAGGCCCACGGCTGGGCACTGAGTCTCAGCAGTGAGAAGGTGGTGCCAGCTTCCTCCACGCGGTGCCACCAGGAGGGGAGGTTAGGATTCCTTATCCTGGATGCCCACAGGGCTGGTGGCACTGGGGGGTGGGGGAGAGCGTGGGTAGCTGCTTGACTCTGTTTTAAGCTCAGATTGAATTTCCAATTAAGGGAATCTTTGGGTTAGGAGGAAAAGCAGAGTTGTCTCGCTCCCGGGGGCTTTGTTGAGTAATCAGGCTGCAGAGAACAGAGAGCCTTCCTACCAGCCTCCTTGGCCCAGGCAGCCTGGGGTTTCTCTCCACTGTGGCCTCAGATTGTCTGCTCCGGGCTTGAAAGGAACTTCTCAGTTCAAAGTCTAGGACCAGGACCGCTTTCCCAGGGAGAAGGGAGAGAGCTGAGATGTCTCACTCCCTAAGATGGGCTCTAGATTGAAGGCGACTCTAGCTCTGCGCTGTCCAACATGGTGGCCCCCGGCCATATGCGTCTGTTGAGGTCTTAAAGTGTGGCTGGTACGAATTGAGATGCACTATGAGTGTGAAGCAGACCCTGGCTTTGAAAGACTTCGTAAGAAAAAAATGTAAAGGAACCGAGCAATAAATTTTTATATTGATTACAGGTTGAAATGTTTATATTTTTTTAGGGTGGGGGAATGTTTACCATTTTTAAAGGCTTTGTTGAATTCACTACAATATTGCTTCTGTTGTTTATGTTTTGGGTTTTTTTTTTTGGCCATGAGGCATGTGGGATCTTAACTCCCCAACCAGGGGTTGAACCTGCAATCCCCTGCATTGGAAAGCGATGTCTTAACTTCTGGACCGCCGGGGAAATCCTGAAATGATTATATGTTAGATAAAATGGGTTAGAGAAAGCATATTATTGTATTAAATTTCACTTGTTTCATTTA